AAAAAATATTCTTCTAACTTAATATCAGTTTTTAAGGAAAGAGGTTAACATTCACCATGAATAGAAAGTGATTCGTCTAATGTACCAATATCACCGTGAACAACACCAAAATCATTGGGTACCCGACTTTTCCTTCATCTCTATTTTCTATTCTCTTTCTTACATTACATCTCTATCTTCTTAAGTAGATCATAGTTAATCATAAGTTTTGTTGTAAGATATATACAGTAGAGCATCGTTTATCCAAAACGTCAGTTATCCGAAAGAATTTCAGTCGGCAAATTTAAATTTTCGCTAGTGCTGTGGCACTGCAATCTTTGGCTCTATCTTGGGCTACTCCAATATTTTTTTTTGTTGATGTGTGTGTTTTAGCTGGCAGCACTGGCACTTTTGTGTGGTGTTTTTCTGAGGACTGTGTGTCATGCTGAATCGAACGTTTTTGATACTAGATTAACTTCTAAAGTATAATTTTTTTTGTTTTTATATTTTTCAATATATTTATTTTGCTTGTACAAAATAAAAAAATAATTTTTAACAATACAATAGCCACGATAATAATAATAATCGTGGCTATTGTTAAGCTTAACAACAGCCATATTATATTATATAAAATTTTCGTTAGGCTTAACATCGACGAAAATTCTACGCAAAGCTACACACAACAGAGAAAAATTTAAACATGGGATATATTAATATACTATTATTGGGATATACTAATATTAATAACATATTTTTTTGTACATAATCGGTTATCCGAAAAATTGATTTTCCAAACAACCCCAGTCCCCAATTGATTCAATAATCAACACTCTACTGTAATTTAATTTTTACTTCTTTAACTTAACACTAGGATCAAATAAGTTATCATTCTTCACTAGCAACACTCAATAATAGCATCAATTCCACATGTTAACAAAGAGTATAACCCTTTTTATTTAAGGTGCCACTATAAAATGCCACAATGCAAATGTCACTAACTCAAAAGTAGCCATTGAATAACCAATATTTTTTTAATTAAAATTTAACTACAAATAGAAATAGTCACTATTGGTATATTAATGATGATAAATTGACATTTACATAATATAAATGGTATCCAAAAATTCATTTTTAAAAACATCTAACAATTGCCTAAATGATAGAGCTACAATTCAACAAATTTAAATAATTAATACAAATTAATTTGCCAGTAAAGGTAGGTGTTAGGCACTATCTCTAAATTAAATTAATAAATAATTTAGAACCTTCTGGAAAAAAACTGACCCAGGGCTGGACTTGAACCTGCAACCTCCATTTGCCATGTGGTACGCTTGCCAGTTGCACCACCCGGACCCTGAGAAAGTCTTTGTTTCCAGAAGTATTTAAATTTGGATACAACCTTACACAGTTAATCACAACATTGGCTGGGGACAACTCCTACACCAACGGCCTAAGAACAACTCTACAGAACTCAGTCAGCTAAATAAATTTAACAGCTCTGGAGAAAAGACTTGCTCAGGAATCCACAAAACCTTTTTTTTACAAGTGTTGTATCCTATAACAATCTTCACAAACGTTTTCGACCTCCACCAAGGTCAGCTTCAGGTGGTGACTAAACAGTGTCTCCTCTTGACCATTGGAATGATGACGCCCGAGATGTAAATAATGCACGTATCACATTTCACCCCTCTGCTTGTCCCAGTTCGAATTCTTCGAACAAGTACCTCCATGCCTGCGCGATCATTTCTCAGTCTTTAAAGTTGATTCAGGTGCCCCCAATGTTGGCTTTATAAATCTCCCAGGCCTCCCAGGCATCCTGAGATCAAATCTCAGGATGTGATCAATATGACACGCCTGTCTGATTACCCTGGTGTTTTGGAAGTCCGCCCGAATTTCAGGGTCGGTAACGATGGCCAACAAGGCAGTGGTGTGCCTTTTATTTTTAATATCTAATTGATGCTCATGTAACCGTTTTTGTGTTGAGTGGATGATGGAGCCAATACTCCACCATCTGCTCAACACTACGTAACGGCCAAGGATTTCTCCCACACCGAGTTATATATAAAACAAATATGCGTACTTCTAAACCAATATCCGGCGTGAAAACTCCAAACAAAGATTGGCAAACGCTTTCGATGCCCCTCCTGGGCTCTTCTTCAGGCCAAATTTACTGTACTGGATTCTTTAATCGAATGTTTTTAAATAAGAACGTGATCAGTTACTAGAATTTCAAAAAAAAGGAAGGTAATCATGTGCCTTTCAAATTATAATTTCTTTATAATTAATATTCGTGGAGATATGTTGTGGGCATCTCATAATCTTGTGTATCTTATAATCACGTGCCGTGTCTAAAAATATAATTTTAACTAGTAACGATACGATTTTAACTAATCACGTGCCATTTCTAAAAATAATTTTAACTAGTAGCGATATGATGTGTGTATCTCATAATATTCTCGTGTATCGTATAATAAATTACGATTCCTCATCAAATAGATACTGCCATGCTGTTGAAAGATTCATTTCTTCTTTAAGATTGATGCAGGTTGATTTGCGATCTGCTTTGTAGATTTCCATCACTTCCAAGGTTCTTAGATGTTCCTGATGACGAGTGGTGTGGATGATTCGTGCTTCATTAAAAATCGGGGTTATGTCCGGGTTTGTTGCATATGTAGACAATGCTGTTGTATATTTGTTGTGGTGATATCTGTTTTATGTTCCTTTATTCTAGTGGCTAACGGACGTTTAGTAGATCCTATGTAAATTAGTTGCCTCTGCCATCTGTCATCTATTAAGGGAATGGTGTATATTCCCGGTAGTCTGTTCGAGTTATGGGTGTCTTTTCCGTTTCTTAATAAATTATATATGGAAGGGTTTCTTCTGTATGTAATTCTAATTCCTTTTTTCTTTGCAATTGAATTATATATCCTTTTCATTTGCGGGTTGTACGTTACCGGGACCCTTTCCATATGTTCCTGATTTCTTTTCTTCATCCGTTTTACTGTTTATGTGAAGGCGCTGATTACATAATTTGTTTATTATTTTGCCATAACCGTGGTCTTTAGCAACTTCTCTAATATACGCTAATTCTTGTTGTAGAGCGTAGGTTGTGGAAGAGTGGGAATAGGCCCTTTCTACCAAACTCCTGTAAATTTGGCCTGAAGAAGAGCCCAGGAGGGGCATCGAAAGCGTTTGCCAATCTTTGTTTGGAGTTTTCACGCCAGATATTGGTTTAGAAGTACGCATATTTGTTTTATACTACGTAACGGTTTTATTGAAGGGGCGATACTACGTAATGGTTTTATTAAATGGGGCGATACTACGTTGAAGGGGGTGACGATTCGTTAGAAGTTGAGAAACACTTATCTATACTATGTACAGCTCTAGCTAGAGCAAATCTAGCTGAAAGTCTAGTGTACATGTAGCTGAAATATTAAAAGAATGATTTCAAAATTCATACAAAACTCTTTGTGAGCAGCAAAACAGTTTAATTATAAACATTTTAAGCCTTTTTTAAAGACCATCTTCAGGTAAAATACAGAACTGAACAAAATAAAAGAATAGAATATAACAGTAAATGCTAGTGATCCACGAAAATGGTCTTTAAAAAAAGCCAAAAGTGTAATTAAACTGTTTTGCTGCTAACAAAAGTTTTTGTGTGTACATTTTGAATATCCATAGTTATAGTTTATATTTGTTAAAATAGTCTCTTTCAAATTGTTGATAATATTAAATATATCACAATCACTGGATGTTAATAAAATCAAATATCTTTACTATCATATTTGTTTTTAAAAACTCTCAAAATAGAAAGTAAGCAATGAAAATGAATAACTACAAAAAATTGGGATAAAACCAATCTGACTTTTTAAGTCACTATAATCTACATCAAAAAGAAACCTATCAATCAATCTTTCAAAGACTATATAACCAAATTTTATGTTTTAATACAATATTACCACTTTTGTGCTATAAAACATCCAAGAAATTGAAATTCTACACCCAAAGTAATCAATGCCTTTTTAACAGCAAATTAGTTTAAAGAAAACTAATGTTTTGGCTCAGTTAATGAAGAAGTTAAAAGGTAAAAGGTTCCACTTTCAACCTTCCACATACGAAAATGGCCAATTAAGTGTTAAAAGCACAGCGCTCTTTAAACTTCACCCACTGTCAAAGATGCATTGACTAATTTAGCAGAGTAGCCACAGTGGCTAGTTCACACTTAATAAATTCTACATATTATTTAGAAAAATTTCATGACTTATTTTATAGGATATTTCATACTAAGATCATATAGAAATTAAAAACAAAATACATTTGTGTTTATTACGAATAGATTAAAAACTTGACTCGAGTGAATAATCACATGGCTTTAGAGGTCAATAATCAACATATGAATATTAAAGTATCTTTTTCGTAGTAAATTTTAAATAATAAACATTAGTCACAATATAATGTCACACACATATCTAAAAATTTTTTTTATAAATTTGATAATGTAATGACCGAAACTAATCAAAAGTTGAATTTAATAATGAACTGATAATGAGTTAATTCATCAGAGCAAATTTTTCATATTTCATTACGTACAAAACAGAAAATTTCATAAAGCATTCGTGTCTATCTTGTCATTTTACCCTTTCAAATATAATGAAATAAACAGCTAATCTCATTTTTTTTCTTTGTGTTCTTCGTTACCCGCCATTTTGATTCTATGTAATACTGATTCTATTAATTACGTTAATATCACATCTCTTCAACAATTTTAAACTCGCACATATTCAATAAATCAGTTTTGGTTTTATGGAAACGTACAAAGAAGTGAAGAATTTACATTTCTAACTTAACATTTGCTCCACTATCAAAATGGCGTCAATCTCATTGTCCTTTGAACCGATGTACAGAGTTGTTAATACGGAAAACTTTATATTATATAATTACTGATTATTTTAAAAGATCTGTTAGCTTTAAAATTATTGTTTAGATACATCGAGATGAATTCATTTTATTAAATTAGTTACCTTTAGTTGAAATAATCTCGCGGGTTGCTAAATGGCGATACCCAATTCTCCTATTGATCGTTCGCCAAATCTTTTCTTACCGATAGAGGCGCTCTTTTCTTGTTACTGAAAGTTATCGAAAGAGCTATCATTAAATTTTCAAATTTGTTTTAAATAGGGAACACTTGAATTTACTTGTATGAAATACATTTTAAATTGATTTTATGAAAAAATTTATCAATTCAAAAATACCGATTTATGTATTTTTTAAATTTTAAATACTATACGATATACCTTGTATTTAAGTTTTACATGATTCATAATACATTTATTTATTTACATATTTTTAGTAATTTTTTAAAGAAATCAGTGTTTTTGTTATATTTGTTTATGTATTGAGAAAATTCAGATAATTGCAGATAATAATCAGCAGACTCAACAGTTTTGGAGCTGTTGAGTATTTTTCTGCTGAATGCCCTCTACGGTAGTGCTCTTTTGGAACGTGTTTGGTGTTTTGACGTCACATTTGATAATCTTTCATTTACGCTACCTGAAACTGACCAATGAGGCTTTTTATTCCAATGCAGTGTCATTTGTCGTTTGGAAGATTCAGGTTGCTACGTAACAGCTACCAATTTGCTCAGTTACAACTGCTGAGTCTACTGAATGCAGCCAATGGTATTTTACATGGTATTGTCTAAAATTTTATATTGCCACAAATTATTTAGGGAAAATTGTAGAAGCTTACCATTATGCATTTTCTTTTGATTTTTTTTCTTTTTTATAAAGGGCATATTTGATGATATAATTTTTTGGGGCAATGCATGTAAAAAGTGCTATAAACAAAAAGAAAAACATAAGATTGCTTGAGACATATTTGCTTAAGATTATGTCCATAGTGGAACGGCATGTTGGATGGCAGATGTGTGCAAAATATGTTGTGTAACCTCACTTCGATTACACTCCATCGCGTGACTACCTGGAAATATTGCTTAAGCCATGTGACATCTGACATATTTCCTGAGAACCTTCTGGCAAAGGACTTCATTCTTTTGGATTGAACTTTGGAGGCATGTGATACAACATTGATGTCATATTTCCTAACGTAAGAACTGGATCTGGCTGTTATAACATGCTGGATCCAAAAACAGGCAAGTTTTTAACTGCTGTCAGATCCAAAATGTAAGTTTTTACTTTCCTGGCTGTTAAAAGTAAAACTTGCATTTCAATGTCCCAAGAACTTGCCATCTGAAACATAAGAAGGATCATACAGACTGATACTTTATCCATTGATTCAATAATGCTGTAGGCCTAAAAGAAGAGATCTTTTGATGTATGGAGCAACACAAAACTAGCTCATGTCAGAAATAAAAAAGGAGGGTTACAACTCTGTATACTTGGCCAATGGAAGTATTTATATATTAATTTGATAAGCCTCAAATACTGTCCAGCTTTGTTTGAGAAAATGGTAAAGGTTACAAACATGGTTTTACAGATATCAAAATAAATCCCATACCCTGTAGATGAGTCCATTGCAAATGAAAAATTCACAATTGCTTGGAGGTGGTGGAGTGGCAAAAGTATAATGTTACGTCTGTGGGACAAACATGTTGGGCACTTCTGTTCTATCAAAAGTTTTTTTAATAAATTGAAGCTGTTGTCAATATCAACAAAACTAATAATTTATTTTACCATTTTCCATGTTGATTCTACACTCCAATTTATCACTTAGGCTATTAATGCAATGCAAAATACATTAGGTGTTTTGCATTGCGTTAAACGCGTGTTAGCAGCATACACACCGCGTGTTTTGCTCAGTGTGTATGCTGCTAAACGGTCAGCGTTTGACGACTTTTTAGTGTAGTGTTAGCACTGGCTCAGTTTGGAAATGGACGTGAAAGTAATTGCTTGTGTGTGCCTCCTTCATCGTCGCTATAAAAGACGATGGCAGAAGCAAAGAGAATTTTGAAAGCACCCAATATTATGAGATAGACTGATGCATGGAATGTTTGTGACGTTGTATCCAAAACTAAGACAATATGAACTCAAGTTTTTTTAATTCTTTTAGAATATCTATAAAATCATTTGACGGTGGCTGGTCTCTTTTAGATTTCATCAATAACTAGATCAGTATCGAAATGATCGTTCTCCATTTCAGCCAATGTGTGTCTACTTTACCCGAAAGTGCACAATCGAATGTACAACAACATGGCAGCACATGTATCTCAAAGTGTGTGGCTGATGCCCGCAAAACGCATGTTCTAACCAAAATCTATCAACGCCCATTTGAGTGTGTATATGTATGTGGAACTCCTGTTTTTTTAAAATGCACGTTTGAAAACGCCTAATTTGTACACAGCCTTAATGCCTATTGATGGATTTCACAACAAATATACCACAAAAAGAAGAGTAAACTCGAACATCTGACTGTTGGTAGGTCTGTTTTATTTGCAAAGCCTATGACAAAGTGATTGCCATGAGGCAAGCCACCACTATCGTCAGATTAATCTAAGACTGTAAGTTGAAGTTGAATTGGTCTTAAGAATGCTAAATTGCAACCTTAGGATCAGATGCAAAATTGAAAGAAACCTCGTGGTACTGGAGAACAGGAAGATTCCAATTATCTGCATACAGATCCAGAAATGGTCATTTTTGAATAGAACACCAAATTTGAAATTAGCTCATTGATTGTATTTTAATTGACTAAAACTGTCAATTTTGACAGGTTTCTGCTAGTTGTTTAAATCCACTGGAATTCTGATTTGAGATGAGGAGTCTTTCCTTGACTGTACATGGATAAAAATATTTAACCATGATAGCAGCCTCTGTACTTGCAAAAAGACTGACATTATCTGCTTTTGAAAATAAAGATACAAATAAGTCAGAAAAGCAATTTGAAAAACTTTTTTCAGTGATAGTGCAAGAACTGCCTTAATGAAACGAATCGTAATAGATATTTCAATTTGTATTTATTCAGTTATTACTGTAAGATTTTATTAAATTCATGTTTTTGATTTCTAGTTTTCTTTGCAAAAAACAATAAATGAAATTAAACAGAATTATCTTTTTCAAATTGGAATCTTGGCACAGCTTTAAGTAATTGTAACAGGGTTGAAAATTTTTACATTTGATAAATACTTTGAGTTATATTCAATATAATGTTAAATTTAAGCCTAATTGGAAATTTGACTTTGAACAATAAATTATTTAGACCAAGGTCTTTAAGAAACTTGGCAGTGATTCCAACATATTCTGTCATAAATTGCCAAATCACATTAAAAACCTCATCATAATCTGTGTCAAAAAAAAGTCTTTTTAAACACTATTATTTCTAATAAAATTTTATCCGTGTTAGTATTAGAATTTGTCATTTATTGTGCAATTATTCAACTCAGTAGTGTATGTTACCATAGTAGATTCTAGTATTTTGCAATTTCAAGTTCATTCAGTCTTGTATACTTCTAAAAATACTAGTTCTGTTATATTTAATGAAGTTATTACAATAACAGCAGGATCCCATTTGTCCTACTTTTGGCTGTCTTCTGTTAGCATACCCCACTTTTATTTTTTGAGTGTAATGTTTTGGATAAACATATTTTTGTTGTTTTTTTTTATTCATTATTCTAGATTGCATCAAAAATTCTTTGTAGAGTTGTTTTCAAAATGCTCTAGCTCAGTGTTTCTCAACCTCTAATGAATTGTTGCCCCCTCCAACATAGTATTGCCCCCTTCAATAAGACCATTATGTAATATCGCCCTCTTCACTACAAAATTCAGATGCCAAGGGACAATGCTAACGCCAAATTCGTAGTATATCGAATAGACTAGTATAATGTTGTTTGTTTCATTATTGTACGATATAACGAATAAAATATCCAAGTATTCTTAATATAATGTTTTACTATATCGCCCAGAAAATTGTTTTTTGTCCCCCAAAATATAAATTGTTACTAATCGCTCCCTCAACATGGAAAAACGCCCACATGGAGGCGATATCGCCACCATTGAGAAACACTGCTCTAGCTGTTTTCCATTATAGTTTATTGTCAACATCTTACAGAAATGGATCAATTGTACAATGTTACATATATAGTGATTCCTCTGGAAATTCAAACAATTTTTTGGACATTTTGCCACTTTTTATTTTATATCACAACATTGCAATCTTCCATCTATCCATTATTCTGTACAAATGGCCAACATTTACTGGAACACTTCACACAAACATTGTCATGCTTCATTTTGATGATTAACAAATTTTTGAGGTTCAGCAGAATAGTTAACTGTATTCTGTCAACTCTCACAAATCTGAGAAATATTTGTGTTTATTACAGTTTTTTCCTAAAGTAGTTTTCAAACTTTTCACTAAAAAATACACATTTTCTCTAGATAGAGAAGTTGCAATTCTGTTACTGTTTCAACTTTTACAAGAATATGTGGCATTTTTATTTTTTATGTACACAATTAAGAAAATTGGTTTCTGTTTAATTACATAATTATTGTAGTCAAAATTTTTTGATTTTTGTATTTACAAATATCTGGGAATTATCATAAATAAATTTTAGATTGCTTTTTTATGATTAGATAGTAATTTTTATAAATTGCATCTAAGTTTGTCAGAAAATTGTATTCAAAAGGTTTGTTTTTTAGAAAGAAATATATGCATTGGATTATAAGTGACAAATTGTAACTTAACTTCTGTTTTGTCTAACAATAAAAATGAAATTTATAAAATGTAAAGAACATTATTGAAACATCCTGTTCACTGGGATGTTTGGGTCATACCAAGAGATGTAGGCTTCATTGCATATTTCATGTGTATTGTGCAAAGTGTGTTTGTACTTTTATGACTAATGAAAATGAAGCAAACTTTGTTTTCTTTTAATTTTTTTAATATTTTGATTGTTTAGGAAGCTTTATTATTATAACTTTGTAGTGAGATTTTTGCAATATATAAATCATGCACTTTTGATTGTTACTCAAACATTTTCCAACATCTAGTTAATTTTTTTGATACTAATTACAGGAAATTCTTGTTAGTTTGAAATTGAAATGTCAAAATAATTGTAATTTCAAATTACCGAGTTTTGAATTATTCGAGTTGCCATGTAACTGATGTAA